TCTCTCGACAACGCCCATACATGCTAAACTACGATTCATATAGGCACTAGTATACCAACCTCGCATCATTACCTTCCTAAAGTTGATACATATCTCAGACAACACAACAATCAAAATAAAAAAAACGATATCTCAAACTAATCGTACTCCTCCTCCCTTTCCACGGGGCGCGGGGGGTAGAGACGTCTGTATAACCAACTAACCTTTGTACATTGTATGGTGATATACACAGCCTACCCAATTCAAATGTAAAAAGATACGAAGGAGCGAAGCAACGCAACATTTTCTACTACGAACCCCTATCAATCCCATGTTCAAAAAAATCAAACATCACGTCAAAAATCTGCTCTGCGGTCCACTCTAAACTACACCTCTTTATTCTTCTGTAATCTAACCTACAACGACCAAAACGTTATCGTTGCTGCTGCTAATAAAAAGTGCAATGAATACATGGTATGTGACGTGATGTGATGTGATGATGTTCGCCGCACTCCTACAACAACCAAACAACCACCAACAACCACGACGACAAAGACGCCCCCAACCACCATCCGAACACAACAGATGAAAATGATACGCCTCGGCTCCTCCTCCAGAAACATTACCCAGAAAACAAGAGAACAAAAAAAACACCCAGCGATGCGACGCTATAGGAAGCAGAAAAGAATGCCAACCAGAAACCAATAACCCAAGCGTAAAAAACCCCAAATCTTTACTCACAAACACCCAGCCCAATCCAACCGATACCATCGCTAACCAAAGCAAACAATAAAACTCATCTCACAATTCTCACATAAAACTCATCTTCATCTCCTTCTCCCCCCCAAACTCGTCGTCAAACTCATCCGCCCAAGCATTTTTCCCTAGATCCCCACCTCCCAGCAAAGCCCCACTCGCAGGCTCCGTCTTACTGGACCGCAGCCTCGGCCGTTCAAACGGTTCATCATCCCAGGGTGCCGCTACGCCCCCAACACCACCACCGAGGACAGCAGGTTCAGGACTCCATCTGGGGCTCACAGCGCGCGACGACGGGCCCCAGGGCGAGGTAGCGCCGGAGCGACTAGGCTGGGCTGGCAAGGGAGAAAGCGGGAGCGGGGATTTCGGGCGCGAAGACGCTGCTACTGAAGGTGGGAGGGCGAGTGAGGGTGTGTTTTTATGTTTGGAGGTGTATCCGGTATCGTATTTGTTGTCATCGTGGAACGAGGTATCGAATGTCATTTCCATGCTTCCCGCACCAGGGTCGTCGAATTCGTCGTATTCTTCAAATGCGCCGCCCATTGTTGTGAGGGCTGGTTTATGTGCCGCACTGCCGTTTGTCGTTTTACCAGAGTCGCCCAGGCTATCGTTGTAAGATTTCGTTTCTCGGAGTGTGGATGGGGAAACAGTTGCCATGTCGATTTTCATGGGGGGAAGAGTGGATTTGATCTCTTTGATTTCGAATTCAGCTTCTGCGTTGTATTCTTTGCTTTCGGCCGCGAGCGCAGCGACTTCCTTGCGGATGGCGTCGATATCGAACATGATTTGTGTTTCGGCGAGCTTGGCTGGGTCTTGGTCTTGGTCGAGGCGTTTGTGGGCGGGGAGGGCGGAGGATTGTTCGTCGTAGACTTCCCATTCTTTCTTGTCGGCTTTCTTCTTCTTCCACCAGCTGAGTTTGCCGCCCTTCTTTTCTTTTTCTTGGGCTTTCTTCTCGAGTTCCTTGCGGGCTTCTTCGATTTCGTTGATGAGTTCACGTTGCCAGAGTTCGTGGTTTTCGGGGTCTGGGTCTTCAATTTCTACAAACTCGTCGGATTCAACCAGCCAGCCGACTTCGCGGAGCAGCTTGGGCATTGCGGCTCGATAGGCCATGTGACGAGGTACAAATTCGGTCACGTTTACGTTTTCGATAGTAGGGACATGGACGGGAGCGAGACCTGCGACACGCATGACACCACCGCTGGTCGCGCGGAAGAGATATCCTGGACTCATTAGTATCGAACAATGCAATACAGAAACAAAACATACCTAGAATCCAATCATTGGTAGCATAGCCATTGACAAATCTTCCAGGCACCACGGATCTGGCCCTCATGTATTCATCATGCTTGGCGACGGCCGGTGTACCAAACATGTACACATTTTGCACAATTCCAAATGCCCCTCGTTTTGCAAGCTCCTTCAAGCATGAAAAGATAACCCTCGATCCCAGTGAGAAACCAACAAGGGTCACAGGTCTTGTTCCCAAGTTGCGGTCGATGAGCGAGTCAGCAAGAATAAGTCCCGCCATGTCTGCTCGCGCTTGTGATACAATCCACGGATTATCGATAAGATAAGACAGCTTTGTCAATGCCAGAGGGAGTGTCATGGCAGCCATGAGAGTTGTTAGGATAGTACTTCCAAGCACTTGTTGCAGACCTTGTGTAAGAGCCTACATAGTCAGTATGCGCTCTGCCAACCTGCATGATCACACTCACCTCAGTAGCCAGAATATTAATGGTGGCACCCATGCTCCGCAGCATGTCAGGTTCCCACAACACGGAATAAATATCGCCCATAATTGGATCCACAGTACTGTACGGCAACCGGACGTCATCGACCTTTCCGTTCATCCAGCCTGCCAATGTAATGATGAGATGTGTCCTCTTATTGTTATGAAGAGGTCGATATTCGAATGTCTTGACGTTACCCGTTCGCCTGTCCATCGCTCTGACACCGACAGTACTACCGGTGACAACACCCGTGGACGTGATGATGGCAGCGCCTCCAGCACCTGCAAGAAAACTGCTGGTACCTGCTACACCAATAGTTGTGAAACCCGCTGCAAGTCCGGCTCCGATGACAGGTGCAAGAAGACCTGCAGACAAGCCAATGACAAGACCACCACCGACGGTTGCAAGACCCATAAATGCTATCCGCTTGTTGCGCGAACGCTTGGCTCGGTTAGCCATGTGTTCATCTTCGTTCCAGTTTTCCTTGTCTGCTTGTTCCTGCATTTCCAAGGCATCTGTTACGCGCTTTTCAAAGCGGCAGGTCTCCAACCAGTCTACGCTTAGGTACTTTCCAACTTGTTCGAAGAGCTCTCTTGACCGCGAATCGTAGACTGAGTCTGCTATGAGAACCAGAAATAAATCGCACAAGACTGTCCATCGGAGGTCAATGTCCAGGTTCTTGCTTTTAGGAAGTTCCGAAGGCGATTTGACTTCTGGGTAATCGAAACCGACCTCTTCGTGTTCTTTGTATGCTGGCGGGGGCGGTGTTTGTCCATCATCTTGCAAGTCTACTGACGAGTTCTTCGATCTTGATTTGTCTGCTAGAGAGTCGCGCGGCGATGACATCGAGGGTCTTGCAGAGTCCGACTCATTTACGGTATCGGTGTCTTCTGCTGCAGGGTTCTTGACGCGAGCGTTTCTCATTAGTGCTGGCGTCAGGTCTGCCGGAACCACGCCGTGCTCGGACAGCTGCTCAATCATAAGTTGCTCGGAAGCATTGATATCCATGTGCCCATATATCTTGACCATGATCTTTTGCGACCACATCTTGGTTGTCGCCGCCTGCATTTCCAGCAGCTTCTTCATACTCTTATTGTTCGTCTGAGTCTGAAACTTTGAGAACTTCCTGTTCATTTCCACCATAGCCAGTCGCACTAGACCAACGTATGCGACACGTTGACCTTCGGTGAGTAGGTTCTTGGTGGCTTGCATCTGCGCGAGCGGATCTCGCCCTTCCTCGTCCTCATCGGCCAGTGCAGTGCTCCTCTCCTTGAAGAGATATGCAGTATTATCATCCATGCTTGTCTGCGAGTCGGCATCATCGTCCATGATGACCCTGGTATAGCCCTTGGCCGCGCCTCCGACGTTGCCATAGCCGCTCATGTCTTCCAGCTCTTCGGCATTCTCCTTCGCAATGAGCCTGTTGTCATCATCGTACATGTCGTAGTGGGCGTATGCTGGCATCTCTTGCCACTCGCCGTCGTCGTCATCCTTGAACTCGCCTTCCGCTGGCTTTTGTGCTTGTGTGACGGTGTGCTGGTGCGAGTATTCGGAGATGGCTGCGGGCGCGAGACTCGTTCGGTGCGGATATGAAGTCGCAGCGGTTGCGCTATTATAAGGTTCTGTGGTCTCGAGAGGCGGTTTGCTGTCGGCCATGTCTTGCTTTGGTTCTGCAGGTTTGTCGCCAGATTCCTTCTGCTCGGCCTTCTCCACCGGCTCCTTCGCCTGCCCATTGACGTGCGGTTGCGCATTACTGTCTGCCTCGGGTTTGTCTGCCATGGTCTCTGACAGCTTCTCTAATGTGTCTTTTTCTTCTTTGGTGGGCTCTTTGGACTTGTCCAGCATGGAAACATCTTCTCGACTTGCCCCTGCAGAAGCTACCGCATCTTGAAACTTGTCCCCCTCTCCCTCAGAATCCGAGCTATCGTCGACCGGAGTGGGAAGCCGCCTTTTACGTATAGGCAGACCAAAGTCGTCGTACTCGACGCCTTCAATGGGCTCTTTCTTCGATTCCGCGCTCTCCTTGCTATTGCCCTCGTGCTTGGGAGGCGCGGCGGGGTTCTCGCTCATAATGGACCGACTACCGTAAGAAATTCATGGAGAGGTGAAAGAGAATAGATGCAAGAGTGCAAGAGTGCAAGAAGCGACAAGGGTGTGCGAGCAATTTCAAGAGTAAATCCAACTATGTACAATTCGTCGTGGTTGGCTTCGGGCTTGTCTCAAATGCGGAGAGCGACGGGCGTCTCGTTACAGGCGCAGACGTCGGATACGGAGTTAGCGTGCCTGGCGCACGGCCTAAGTTCCGCCTTCAGATGCGAACTTTTGGCCGCATCCAAAACTTCCTCCCCGCAAACATTCGACGGTTCCCAAGCACAACGCCGCCATGAAGTTGAAGCGCGCAAAGGTATGTCATATTCTGCTTTGATCACACGTGATTTGTGCTGATTTTAGGGCAGGCATACAAAAAGCAGCTGCACCAGTATGAACTCAACTTCGGTTTCCGCGAACCATACCAAGTCCTCCTCGACTCGCAAATCCTCCAAGATGCCTACAACTTCAAGATCGACCTCCTTGCGCGACTTCAAAAGATGCTTGGCGGACAGGTCAAGCCCATGATCACCACGTGCGACATGCGACACCTCTACAATGCGAAGCCGAAAAACGAGACACTCATTCTTCAGGCAAAGGAGTACGAGCGTAGACGGTGTAACCACCAGGATCTGGAGGAACCGCTATCATCATTAGAGTGCCTGAGCTCGGTAGTAGATCCCAAGGATAATGGAACTAACAAGCACCGTTACGTCATTGCGAGCAACGACTCCAGTGTACGCGCAAAGATGCGCCAGGTCGCTGGCGTACCCGTCATATACATATCCAGATCGGTGGTACTAATGGAGCCCATGGCCGACGTGACAGAGCAGTTTCGGGAGCGCGAGGAAAAGTCAAAGTTCAAAATGGGTCTCAAAGGACAGCGGAATCCGGGCAATTCGGACACCCCACCGAAGCGAAAACGAGCCGACGAGGGACAAGATGCAGAGGGCAACCAGTCTATTGCAGATCAAGCTACAGGAGAGGCGAGGCCAAAGGCAAAGAAGCGCAAGGGTCCCAAGGGTCCCAATCCGCTAAGTGTCAAGAAGCCTAAGAAAGACAAGACAAGTGCTCCCAAAAAAGCCCGACCATCCGCATCAGAATCGACCGGCGGAGATGACCATAGGGGGGATCGTGAAGATTCAGCGCCGAAGAAAAGGAGAAGAAAGCACAAGTCCAAAGCTGAAGGTGGTGATGATGCGCCGGGTGAGGAGGAACCTGCCTCCCCATGAACGCCGTTACGAAGAGGTTAGGCCTAAATATGAGCCAACCTGCGATATCCGAACACTGCGCATTGTTAGAATCGATAGTTGGGAAAGTTGTAACAAAGCATACCAAAAGCGCACCACATATGCGCGTATACTACATGTTAGTTTGGATAGGTGTGTCTACCTGGAGGTGATACCATGGACATTCCTTTTAAACTCTTTTGCCTTGCGCAAGGAGATCGGACACCTTTGGTGGGAGGACAAGCGTACTTCGGTCATTACGCTTTACGAATTCGACCACAACTTCGGCCGTCTTCTCAGGCAGATCCTCGTGAAGAAAATGGCCCGCGGCGGGGAAAACTTGGAGTTGGAATTTACCTGCGTTATATTAGATACCATGATTATAAAAACTGCGGCTACTTTCAAGCTTACCCTGCATTTGTCCAATCATCAACTCCTTGTCTAGTCTGTCTGTTCCAGCAAGCAGCAAGAGCTTGGCTCCCTTGCCGCTCAGAAACTTCTTACTCATACCCGTGAACCAGTTTGACCAGAATGGCTCTGTACTGGACAGCTCCGTCCGCCACGCCCAGCGTCCGTCTGCTGTTGGTAGTAGTAGACTAGGTACGCTGGCTCGTGCAGACTGTGGATTCCGCAGGGTCCGCGATCGGATGTGCCATTCGATGGCTGCAGGGAGAGAAGGAAATGACTTTGGTCTGCTCGCAAGATAAGTGTGCATGTGCGCTAGCGTCTCCATGGCACTGCCTTCAACCACGTCAAGCACGCCAAAGCCCAGTAGCTTGTTCCCCAGCAGTCCCTTGTTGGCAACGTCTGTGACGACGGCACCACCAAGACTATGTCCTATAAGAACGATTGTTGGGAGTTGGGGCCATCCCATCTTGCTCTGCGTGAGAGATAGCATATCGATGACATCCTGGCTGAGTTGCTCGATGCTCAAGTCGTTGTCCACCTCACCGCTGGCATCCCATACTACGCTGCCATGTTCGCGTGCTTCAACAGCTAGTATGCCAACTTCGGGCATTGCTTTCCTGATATCCTTGGCTGCAAGTGCAAACGTCATGGCCGAACTTCCGGCGCCATGATGCAAGACGACCAACGGCGCCTTTGGACTAGCTGGCGGCGTCAGGTATACGTGGAACTTGGCATGGCCTGCGCTGTTGCGGTCCTGCTCGAGGTAGAACTCTTGCGCATAGTAGTCGGACCAGTGTATTGCAGGGGCGGGTCTTAGTGTACTGGACGGTATCACAGTACCGGTACTGGACATGGACGATGCCGACGACGAATCATCTTCATACTCGGGTACTTCTTCCTGCAGCGGCTCAGGTGGTGGCAGGGACGAAAGTTTGGTCTTGGCAAACTCCCGAGCCAGGCTGGACATGGCGGCAGCGAGGTGATTGGCCCGCGCGTCGTTATTTGGCTGTATTTGTTGAGAGGGCGATGAATGCGGGTGAGGGGAATAGATGCAGCGGGGTATCTGATGGACGTAGACAGGGATCGAGCTTCATGTCTTAGCGAGCCATGGGGAGCAAGGCTTTACTTTCATCGCGGACTGGGTTTCAGATGGCCGATGACGTAGCCGCGTGGGCGAGACAGTGAAAGGCGTCCACAATGCCACGAGGCCGGGCGCTCTGCTATCGTACCGCAGGCATGGATGACAAGCATTTAGGTTCCATGGAGGTTTCCGCGGGACGATCTGGGCTTATGATTTGCGGCTAGGGTGCTTGTGAACCTGGCTGGATGCGATAATGACGTACGTCGATCTCTATGCTTTTAGCGCTATGACCTTCAGTAAAACCTCAGCGCCCCCCAGTGGTTCGATGCACTTCACGAGCTTTCCAAGGCTCTCACTCACCCAATCCACTCCATTTCAACAGACGACGTCCGGATACCTTGCATTCCCTGTTCCGATTGATTTGCTTCATAACGACTGCGAATGTCTGGCATGTGGAAAGGCGGGAAAGATAACGGGGACGAGGGCTTGATGGCTGAGCCGCCCCACCCAATTCCCAATGATGATGGATCGAGGTCTTCGAGGAGAAGTTATGAGACCGCAAGAAGACATGAGGAGCCTACTGAAAGGACGAGACTTCTTGATCGCCCAAGGCACCCACCCAACTCCGATGGCTATCTCGACCCAGATGACCCCGCTGTATGTTCAACCGTATCACAATGCATCATCCATTGCTAATAATCTCAGGTGTCACCTTACAACCTCTGGACCGTGCGTGCTATGCGCTACCTTACCATTCTGTTCCTTATCATCTCGTTTCTATGGTGGGTTCTCTTGCTGGTATCAATCTTCGTCTCTCCCCCCGGACTACACACTCGTGGATCAGGCTTCTTCGACTTTGCATACACATGTCTCACCATCGGAAACCTACTCGTGGTGACCATCTTCTTCATCACCCCGGCTAAGGGATTGCGCATCACTACTGCCATCATTGCCGGACTCCTAGCAATCGACATGATCCTTATCCTATCAGTTCCCCGCCTTAGGTTGGAGGAGGGCTGGGTCGGAATCGCAAGTGTCATTTGGGCTTTTGTCATGGCTGTTTGGTGCATCTTGACCGACCGTGTTGTCGCATACGGAAAGCAGGAGGAAGAGGAACGTCTGACTGGCCGCGCCGAGACACGCCGTACTCTC